GACCCCGGCCTGGCATATAAACCATACGTCTCCGATTCCGGAGTCCCCGGCAGGTAGTGGTTAAGACTGACCAAGCACATTCCCAATTCCCAGCTCAGAATGAACGCTGATAATGCCCTTGCCTGTGGGTCAGACATTAGTCGCGTCCATTCTCCTAAACATGCGCATATTTATTCCCTTTAAAATTAAAGCATGTACTAGTACATGTATTTCACCGTTGCTGATTTTTACTTTTGTGTTGTTTTATTTTATTGGTTAAATAACATTTATTTTTCAGTGCTCTCTCAAGATTTTTTTACTTAGACTGTCACAAGACCAACATAAGCCCTCTACTCTGAATTAAGTCACAAATTTTCCAAATGAAAGCAAGTTTTGCATTCCTTTGTAATTGTTCACCCTGTTGCTTGTAACCAGTCTTATCACTGGTTTTGTGTGTGGTCATATTTATGAGGACTAATCACAACACTGCTACATGTATGTACATGTATAAAGTTGTGCCGCCATTGTGACAATAACAAGTTTGATCCCCCTACACAAATAAAAGGTTATTGTACTCCATAAATTTTTCTCATATTGTGGTATGCACTACCGTGCGTTGTTGTGGAACTGTCATTGTTAGCAGTACCATGACACCTTGACTTTGTGTATAATATGGGTATTATTTGAGTTCGTCCCCCATAGACATTCCGCTGTTCTGGTGTGACAGCGTAAACAAGTTTGACAAAGTGACCCAAACCTTGTGATAATATATGACTAATGCTGCTTTTGGTTTCAGGCGTAAGCTAAGTGTTCATACCGGTATGATGAAATTATATCAAAACATGTATGTGTCATCACCGTGGGTTATTTTCTAGGCTGTTGTACACGCACACACACACGTACGTCATTCTGTATACCTTATTTCATTCTGTACCTTACAGATGTACTTCACTGTATACAGGTATACATGTACATGAAGTTTCAGCGACTGCACTGTGACAGTACATGTATGTTTTTACCCCAACACAGCATACCCACTGTACGTGTGCTGATGTTAAAACTCTACTTTCGTATATCCAGGGAAAGATGCTGTACTGTAAACGTGTGCATACGCGTACACATGCATGTATTTTGTACACATATCAGTACCATGTACATAGAGCATTTTTCAGATGGGATAGGTAGCCTTCACCACATTGAGGGGACAAATTCTTTTTGGTAGGAAATTGGAGACCTTGCAAGTTGCAGGGACAGAAATTTGTCTGTAGTGTATTCCAACATGTGTGTTGTCACCATAAGTCTGTCACATCAGGGACTTTGTATGTAAACATGTAGGTAGGCCCTCTCCACTTTGTGAGGGCAGTTCAGGAAGGTCAGAACTGCATTGTACAAGTACATGCATGGACAAAACTGTCCCCATAATGTTTTGCATCCCCATTATATAATGTCTAACTTCAAAGTGTGTTGGCCCTGTAAACCGGTAGACAGTATGTGTGTTTACCAGTGCACACATAATACTTTGCATGTACATGTACATGTATGAACATCACAAATGCATACACTGTACATGTAGGTTGCTTAAAGTGTGGCCTCCATGAATTTTTCTAAGACACAATTTTTCTGCCACTTTGTACCCATCTTCAGTGTATGAAAACTCTTCCACTTTCCTGTTTGGTTACGTGTACGTGCACTGAAAATTGCACTTGTCAAACATTTAAAATTATTCATGCTTTCCTGGACAACTGAGGGCATAGTTGCTGTGATGTCATCCAGGGAAGACATGCATGTAGTTCAGTGCATAGGTTTTTCTTTTAAAATTGTGAGCCTAGAATTTACTTTATACTGAAAACATTATTGCTCTGTACATAAACAACAAATCAGCAAGGAAGGAAATTAAGTCCAGCAAAATCTACCAAACTGCAGGACTTTTTTGTGTACAAACCAGTGTAACATTAATTTTAGGCTTTCTTCCTGGGATGACATCAAAGTTTTGCTTCCATGCATAAAAAAGGAAAAGGCAGTGTAATGCATGTACCCTTTGAAATAGTGTAAAGTTGAAAGTAAACTTAACTGAGACACAAAGGTGCATTTTGAAGGTTTGTATCAAAACAAATTGATTGCAGCTCTACCCTTTAAAATGACACTTGTACAGCGAATGAACTGTGCAAAATAGATTACCGCACTGGTAAATTGAGCTATGTACCCGGTAAGCCTCCATTTGTGAGAGCCGATTGGACTTCGTTTGCTATATGTACATGTATATGCACATCCTGTCAAATTGAGCTGCAGTTCTGTTGGGTTAAATTTGATGACCTTCATGCCCAGTTGCTCTTTCATTAGTGTTTGTATTAAATTGCCAGCTACATGTATTGGGGGAATCACTTCAGCTTTCGTGTACATGTACATGTAGTCAGGGTTTTGTCAGTAAACCTGCTCAGTAGGCACACATTCATACTATATCCTGAAGGGTTAAATTACATCTGACAAGTCTGAGACTGACAATTTTCCAGTACACAGTACCCTGCATTTCATATACATGTACCAGGATATGTATATTTTGTATATTGGCCCTTGACCATGTTAAAATGTGAGAGTCCACTGACATGCCAGCTAGTTGCTTTTTAGGGACCAGACTGAAAATGCAAATAACAGTGCCACATACATGTACATATGTACATGTACATACATGTAATTCATGTACCGGTACATGCAAATTTATGATTCTCAAATCTTGTCTGTTACATGTATATATTAACCCTTATTGCTTTCACCTACATGTACATTTTATACATCTCCCCAGCTCTCTTTCAATTTTGAGTCATGGGCCTTCGGTGCCATTTATGACATCCTCTTTGTTTGGCACTGTTTGTTCATCCTTTCACCCTATCCCCTCCCTCTATTCACATGGACTCATTCAGTGCCCCTGTGTGTACATGTGTTTGGGAATTTGTCACGTGACTTTATGTACATTAATCAGACAGGCGAGCTGTAGACTTGCTTCTGAGTTTAACAAAACAGCATCACGTTTATACTGTTGTGATTCTGTACAGTGGGAGATCACAAAGAGTCTTGCCTTTTTTTCCTTGGCTTGCATAGTGCAAGCAGATAGAAGCTGCCCGCTCGTACATCTGCTTCCTGTGTCTCAACAACATCCCGATGTCCATCGAGGTCTTGCTGTACCCGGACTGCTGTCGGGAGGGGGAGCAGGCAGGCATAGAGATGACCAGCACCAGCGAGGAGACGGCGCAGACCCCTGACCAGCCCTCCCCGCACCTGCTCCTGGAGCAGTGGATTATCCAGCTGCTACCAAAGAGGTACATGTACTGTAGGCACGGCCCAAGTCCCCACTGCATCTGGATACGCTGCTTACTTTCACTCACTTTGTACCCTGCGCTGTTCCATGCAGTGGGACTCCATTTGGTTTGTGTCAGTAACTTGTGTCATCCTAATGCCTACTAGATATTTTGGTTTTGTTTTTGTCTGTGGTTTTTTTCAAACTGCCTAATCCTCTGACCTTCGACCCTAGTACAGAGTGACACCTGACTCTTCTCTGGCCAACGTCTTGGAGCTTCCCACATTGATCAATGCACAATTCTTCTAAGCGCATAAAATATTCTGTACATGTAGCTAAAACAGTGACTGACCCAGGGCATGTTTTCTTTTTCTGATCTGGGTGACAATTTCTGTCTGTAAAGTGACTCCATTGGTTGGAGAGCAGAAACTGGAAAGAAAGAAAAATAGTAGGGTTGGTGTTTGCAGTGGCTTCTCATCCTCCGTGTTCCCTACTTGTAAAACATGCTACTGGACAAAATTTCATGTGATGTTGCATTTGACTCCCTTCTCATAGATGTTTCACATAACTTGCTAAGTAGGTTTTTTTTTGCACAGCATTCATGTCCATTCAAGCTGTGCAATTTTTCATCTTCGGCATTCTTCAACTCTCTTTCCTTTCCTCGCCTGCCTGTTCCATTCCACATGCAGAGTGTCTGTTGCCACTGGCCGTTCCAAAACTTTGCTTAGATTTTCAAAAATTGTTTCTCTTCACAGGTTCCCTGATGGGCACTCCCATAGCCACCTGCTCTTCCAGGCTGTACGATCTTTCTTGCATTTCTCTCAGATCAGTGCCTGGCTCAGCTCCACGCAGGGACGATTACCAAAGAACATTGTCTACAGGTCAGACTTTATCCCTTTATAGTTCTCTGACACAAAGACAGCCTCCTGTTTTTTTTTTGTTTTTTTTTACTTCACATCAGATGGTTATTTACATCCTCACCACTGCGTTTGCAGATTGCTCCTAATTTTGTTCATGTTTCCAAGTGAGTAGCCGTAACTTTGGGCTTCAGGTGTATATCACTTTTTGGGTAATATATTAAGAAAAAAGGTGACCATTGTATTTCCTGCAAAAAGTGAGGCCACAAGTATTGAAACAGATCAAGGGTGGCAGAATAATGCTAGTGCTTATGGGCCAGCTAACTTAAGCAAGTCCTTAGGTAAAATGCATTACGGGGTAAAGAAGAGAGTTTGTTTGGAGGATTTTTTGTTCAGCCCCGTTATTGTGTCATTTTATTTAATTCACAAGGGGAAAAATCGGAAGAGCCTAGGTCCATGTTTGCCTTGTTTCTTGAGCCGGGTTTTACTGTACCCGGCAAGAGAACCACAGTTGACCACTTTGGTTCCTGTTTCTTGTTGACAGGGTCTGTGCCCCAGGGGAGTCGTTTCCAACCAGTTTTTCTTCTACTCCGGAGGTGCACACTTTCCCCATCCTGAACCTGTCCAAGTCGTCTAGTCTACGGGTCACTGTTGCTTCTCTACCTCGCTCTCAGAGCATACCTGCGCTTCCCTGCTACAATGCGGCTCATTCTGCCATGGGCAGAGCCGCCAGGAAGGGTGGCAGTGATAGGGATGCTGAAGATGATGACAGGGAGTTCAGTTATTCCTTCGTTGATCCAAGCCGAGAGCGGGATCAGCGGAGTGGAGAGGAACTGAAGGAGGAAAGGAGACAGAAGCAGGATCAGAAGACGATGCATGTCTCCAGTGGAGCAGCATCATCAGACCAGGAAGAACTGGCAAGACAGGGGAGTGCTACGGCTGCTCAGAAGTTGCGAGTCTTGCTCCCCGAGCCCAAAGACACACCTCCCTTCCACCCAGAGCAGAAGGGGCACAAACTACCAAAGTTGAGAGACAGCTCCCCGCAGCATGTTCGCCGCCGCCCCTTGAGACCAACAACCTGTGACAACCTCCCCCAGAGGCCGGCATCAAGCGAGAAGTTCGAGGAGAAGCCACCAACGTCGGCCAAGCTGAGATGCCAGCAGGCAGAGGAATCCAGCAAGGGGAAGCACACCCCGACCTATGAGCTGTATTACACCAGCGGCCAGCCCAGCTTCTCCACGGTGGAGTTGGAGCGGCGGATCCAGGAGCTGAAACTACAGAAGCTGGAGAGGAGTTCCAGTAGCTCCCCTGAGTGTGTGACATCGACCCCCCCGCCCTCACGGGGGGAGTCCACTCCAAGACCTATCTGTGCTTGGAGAGATAGGACGCCCAGTCTAGAGGAGGACGATGGCATCTTCTTCACGGCCAAGTCCTCTCTGGAAGACCGGGGATTTGCCGTGCAAGATGTGCACAGGACGTCGCACAGAGAGGACGAGGATGTGCCCTCTACAGAGTTTGGCACGCCTCTCTCCACAGTTCCCTGGTTATCTTACCAGAAGTCCACGGATTCAGACTCCGGAAACCAGGGCCACACACACTGCGAAAGTCAAGCTGAGAGCGTCTTTGTTGGGAATCAACCAAAGCATGGTTTCAGCGGAACAGACATCCCAACATCCTTCAGCCAATCCAATGCAAGAAAAAGCAATTTTTCACCCCAAACACCTGAAATGCAATCGCCGCACTGCCCCTATGCAATTGGTGGTGCTGAACCAACAGGCAACAACGCCTTGTCAAACGTTAGCCAACAGCCAAGCCAACCACTAACCACTCAAAACCAGAGGACAACCATTGATCACGTCCAAGGTGCCTACACTATCCTTGGCTGCTCACCCTGTCAGAACCAAGCCAACCAAAGTCCGTCTGCCAGTGCTGTCTCAGGGAACACCCCTTCTCCTACATCCTCACCTCGCCATGCCCGTAGGCGGGGCTTCAGCCTCGACAGCCATGACTTTCAGGCCAATATCCCAGCGCCTTTCCGCAAGCCACTGCAGTACGAAGGGAGTTCAGAAAACACAACCAGTGTCTCCTCTCCGTTCACCCCAGTATTTGGAAGAAGCAAGTCCTTGTTCAAGAGCATCCTTGGAAAGGAAAATAATGCTCGAAGCAAAGAGGTGAGCACCGTACTGAGCCATCTGAAAAGCAGTCTGCTTAACAGAATTTTATGTGCCCAGCAAATTGATTAGCAAAATATTCATTCCTTAGAGAAGTGATTACCAAAATTACATGAGACCCATTCACCAAGGTGCATATGACACAGAATTGTGGCTGTTTACAGTTGTAACTTCAGCAGAACTTAATTTCCTGGCTTCAGCAGTTTGGTGGGAATTGTCCCCTAGGTAGGGCACGTCTTTGTGTCATCAGATTTCCTTTTCGAGTGGCAAAGGCCAGCCCGTACTTGGAGGAAAAATGAACATGTACATTTACATTTAAGCACTGATGTCAGATCAACTCTTCTTTCTGCAAAGTTGGCCACATTTTAACTCAACCGAATTTCACTGCAGATATTCCATGACATCAGATTCACTTTACCTTTGTGTTCTCCTGAAGTATGAGCAGGCTTTGAGGCAGCAAAGTGCTATTGCATTGATCTGCTTCAGTTTAGAGACTTCAGTATAGTTGTCTTGCCTTGGCAGAACAAACCTTTGCAGACAGATAGCCAAAACAGCCTGTGCAACTACATGTAAACTGTGTGATTTAGTGCATTGTTTGAGTGTTGAGTTAAATTTGCACCAAAAATCTGTGTTCTTATTATCCCTCAAATTTGGAACCTGATTTCGTAATGCATTCCTGGAAATACAGAATAAGTCATTGCTACGAACTATGTACAAACTAGTGCAATGAAAAGAGACTTAGCTTGGAAAGTATCCCCAGCTTTTAACGACCCTTTAGATTAGAAAGCTGCAGCTCTGCAGTCATATTTTTCTTGTTAATGAGTTCAGTGTATTGCTAGATTCCAAATGATGGGTTCTCTGTGTCTATATCAAAAATTGATTAAAAGTGGTGGCCCACCATTTTATTCCTGTGAATCAAGGTTACATCTCCTTAATTCTTCTCTGACAGAGTCTACCGGCAGAGAGTGGGGAGGCCACCACTCCGCCTACGCTGTCAGGCCTGAGGAGTGGTCTGATGAGAAGATCCCTGGATAGCTCCAACACCTACGTCTTCAACCCCAGCACTGGCCTGCCCATTAACTCCAGTCCAGTAAGTCCTCGGTTCTTCTCATTCCAGCTGAGCATAGGATCCTAGATATTACCATGTGCCACTGCATGTGTGCTTTCTCATGGGGGGGGGACATGCCTACCAGCATGGTGGGAGCTCCCCCCCTTCCCTCCAGCACAGTCTTGTCATCAGGAGACTCAGGTCTTGTCATCAGGTGTCATCTGGGGACGGACAGCACACTGTCTGAAATGTTGAGTAAAACTGGCTCCTTTCAGAGACAAACATACAAAAGAGATACTGGTGGTTCATTTGCTGCATGGCTTTACTATAAACCACTCGCCTTAGGTGGGTGTATGCCCACCATGCAAACCTTGAAATCTTATTTATTTAACATCCTATTGGTTGAAGAAGCATTTAACATGTACGCATGGCCTACGTACAAGTGTGGCTTTATCACAGTAGTGGCTTGTGTTACTGGTCACCAAATCAGTCTGTATACAGGATGGGAGACTGTTATGGTTCAGGTTTGTCTTTGCTAGTGGACTCCCACACACAACTTTGACTGAGATACAGCAAAAACTTCCCTCCTGTTTTTACACAGAAAGACTGAAAACGAACGGTAACTTCCCCTCTGGTTGATGCGCACACTTAAGCTCAAAGTATCGTACACAGCCACATCAAATTTAACCATCACCCAACTCCCCCTAGCAGGCCGCATAGTACCCTCAACAGTTCTTGTACAGAACTCGCTGGGTGACGCACATTCCTGTGAAATTACCAAGCTGTGAAAAGACTGAGATGACCTTTCAAGGAGCAGAAAGTGAGACGACATGTGGAATGTTTCAATCAAGGCAGGTCTTTTATTTTCCCCTCAGGCACCTCTGCGTAAAGCCAAGACAGAACAGGACTGTGCATCACTACTCAAACCACGCTCTCTTCTCAAGAGGTGAGTTGACTGAGAATGAACAGCCCATGGTGTACAACATATGAAATACCAAACTCTTCAGTAGCTTCCTCCAGTTCTCCAGTTGTTCGGTGCCAGTTTCGTCAAATGCTCTTTCCACGTTCCCTATATGTTTTCCTGAAGTTCTACTCCGACCGTGCATTAGTACGGCTAAATGCAACATAAGTCCAAATGTTGTGCCTTGCCAGTGGAGAGATTTAACAAGGGTACGCTGTAGATATGCGTACAGCCAAAGTTACATCTCATCCCAAGCACTACATGATGTCAACAAAATCCGCTGATTTATTGTGCTGCAAAGGTTGCATTTGGAGAGGTTAGCATTGCAGACTTGATGGATTCTGTTATATTTTGCAGGGTTCTGAGAAAAACCCAAGTGGGGATTATATGTGACCCAGCACATCGAAATCAGGAATACGTGACAAATTGACTTTTTGAGATTTGTACATGGACAGAAAGAGAAATTCATAAGCTTTCAAATGGTACACATTACAAGTGTGTTGACAGTGACCTTTGATACATTCCCTTCCAAAATAAACAGACACTGCCACATTGTTTTTTCAACATTTACCCACATCCCCACTTTACTCAGCCGGCCTTTACTCAAATGGCCTCAGCGACTTATTCCTGATACAATGTACAATGGTCAAATATGTATAGTTGCAGACTTCTATCAAACGCTCTTGTCCTTGTATCCAATTGTTCTTGTCTAGTTCTCCTTCATGCAATGATCTTGAGAACTCCAACGTACCACTGTCTCAGGCTACCAGGGTATTCAGCACCAGTGCCCCAGCCTCAACGAGCTGTCTGTTAGGCAACTTTGAGGTTAGTAGAGTAATTTGCAAGTGTGCACTGGATGTGTATTTTATTGAGATGGTTTGTCCACATTTCTGGTTTGATGGTTTTCAATACTTGCGCGCCTCAAGACTGTCTGCAAACTGAAGTCAGTAGGCACATAACACCTAGAGCCATACATGTCTGACCCATTCAGTGCTGGGTTTACATGTGAGAGTGCATGCATAGTCTCCTCACCAAAGGGACATAGTGTGCTCCCCTATTTGAACTGAAGTACTTCGGTTTGGATTCACAGGAATCAGTATTGAACGGCAGGCTTGAGCCGCTAGGAACAATCGATGGATTCACGGCTGAGATCGGGGCCAGCGGGTCATTCTGTCCCAAGCACATTACACTTCCTGTCACAACGTTCTTCTACAGTGTGTCCGATGATGACGCACCCTCTTCATATTTTGTAAGTTGATGAAATTTGAGTCTTAGTGTCTACAGAAAGCTTGACTTACAAACTTCTAAGTTAGTACCTGTCTGTGGATTTCACTTGTTTCCTGCAGGGCCAGTCGGTTTTGAACCGTACAGGTAAAAGGTCAAGGTCATTATGATCAAATAAAAAAGTAAGGGTTTCTCCACATAATACTTGTACACGGTACATTGTTTCCAAACTTCACAGGCTGTTCTTAGATCTTGTTGGTTAGTAGATTGCATTTTGTGGGTTAATATAATCTCAAATTGAAGAGAAGCCATAAGAGTTAGGCCTGGTCAAGCTCAGCAGGGCATTACATGTTTTTAATGCATAATTCTTGTCCTCATGATGTAGGGTTACATTAACCTGGAACATCTTGGAAGGCGAGGATACCACATACCCAAAGTAGGAACCATCCAAGCTGTAAGTCATGTGAACTTTGAACTTTCACCCATGACCTCTCATCCCAACAAGCTTACATACTATGAACTCTGAACTTTCACCCATGACCTCTCATCCCAACAAGCTTACAAACTATGTGTGTGTCTGAAGTGGGCTTCGAGAGCTATGGCTTTGTCTTCATATAACTGGCAAAGACTTAGCCCCAGTTCATGATATAAGATTTCAGACATGCTCCCAAGAACCCAGCTTTGTCCAAATTTCTTGACTGTGTCTTGCAGTTGCACACAAGTCTATCATAGTTGCTGCAGCCGCAACCCATAGAATCATATAATTCCAAGCCACAGCCAAGTCATTTGGACAGGGCCCAATATCCTCACCCTCTGTTTCAAACAGACACTGTTCAATCCCAACAAGACGGTGGTCAAGATGTTCGTGATGCGGTACAACTTGTCGGACATGCCGCCCAACTGCCAGACCTTTGCACGGCAGCGGATCTACTACATGCCCAGCAATGCACAGCTGGCGGACGACTGTGAGAAGGAGCTGCGGTACCTCATACACATCAGGTGGGTTGGAGTAGCTTGCCACACGGCTAGACAGTTACCCTCGTAGTGCGTTTGTGTTGCACTAATTGGGAACCGCAATCCATGAGCCCTTGCATTGTCCCAAACTGTTCTGCCTGTTGCTCCCTGTACTGTCTTTACAAGAAGGCCACTTATAAAGCTCTTCACTTTATCATTCTGCTACCGGTAGGTTTCAAAGCTCCAAATCTGGAAAGATCTACCTCCACACGGACATCCGGATGATTTTTGCCCGTCACAGTCCCGATCTGGAGTCTGCACTTGGTACTTACGAACTTCGCTCTTTTACTGAGACACCAACCAACCCACGTTTCTCACCTAAGAAGCGATAACGGTTTGCCTGTGACGTAGCTTTTGTGTCAGGTTTATTTATCCAGTGCATATCATGAACAATGGATGAATTTCTTAGCTTCCATTCGCATGAATTGTAGATAAATCCAACGATATATTTACAGAGAGCTCAAGAATAATTCATGCCCCTTTTATGCATTGTTTAAGCATAACATGACCACGATGTGTGTATATATTTTGTGTACGGATGATGTGTGTGCAGTCGTCTGTTTTGATAAACCAAAAGAGATAAAGAAAAGCACTAAAAATCCTCCCCCAAAAGCTCAAAATGTAAAACTCTGTTTTCAAAGTTGTTAGAAATAATTTTTTAAGGCTTCAATTGGAAAGTGTGCGACATCTGTTCTTTCTTCTTAACCACTTGCTGCCAGATGTAATTTGAAATTGCATGACGTAAACCCGGGAGATTTTCCATTTTCAAAATTGTTCAAAAATCAGAGCTTCATTTACTACACCCACGCGAAACTACTCTAATCTGACAGACAACATCTATTGATGCCTGAATTTTTCAGCGAGGCTTGCTGCCTTTGTAAAAAGAGCCCAGATTGTGCAGTGTTATGTAACTTTCTTCTGTTCCCGAAACTGACACAGTGCGCTAGCGGCGTCTTTTCAATGGGTGCCAGATTAAGTGTGCATCGGTAGGTAATCACTCATCACTGGAGCGCTTTTGTCCCCGGTGGTAATCCACTCATACTGAATGCCACAAACAGTGGTATAATCTCTCAAACAAAGGACGGTTTTCCCCTGCTCTTGACAACCGAAAAAAAGTTGGCAATTCCCAGCAGCTCGGTCTTTTGTTCCGAGTACGGTCTTTTGTTATAAGGCCCGGCTCTTTTGTCCGGTTTCGGGCTCCCCGGTTTCGTGTATTAAGTCTATGTGCCCGAAATGGGGTTCCGTGGCAGCAAGTGGTTAAAGAAACATTGCTGGTAATTATCCTTTTTTTTCCAGATGACCTATGTTTTCAATCTTGTAATGGGAGCAGGATTTAAGAAGCACAAAAAGAGAAACAAAAATCATGTAGTATTTCCAGCAAAACTTTATTTTTAATAGAGCCATGGGGCTCATATATTTGAAAAATTCAAAGTGTCTTGGAGGCCTTAACTTTTCTGCCACCACGAAAGACGCAAACATTACCTTGGCTTCTGTGCCTGCTGTTTTGAAAATTTTTGTCTTGTGTTTTTTGCAATTTTTTCAAATTTTTGATTATTATACATGTGTATTTATTGTAATGAATCTATCATTGTATTAATTTTTTGATTAAGATTTTTTTAGTTTCGTGCAATAAACAAGTCAAGTAAAAAGGACAGTCATGAGTCACAGAACAATGAAAATTCTGACTGAAAAAGCCCACACATATATTTTGTCTCCCAGCAACGACACTGCTCTCTGGGAATGACCTTTGCCATCTGATCTTGTGTCAAAGGTTAGCAGTTTATTTTGTCTAGCAGTTTGAATGGAAACTGTGTTCATAACTATTTCTGTCGATGCACCCAAACTAGTTCATGGTTGAAATGTCAGACCATGACAGATGGTGTTTGGTGAGCAGATAGAAATACAAGCAGTCAGTACCTTTTGGCTCAGCGTAACTTGCAAGACATATCATTGGCTACAAGGAACAGTGTTGTATTGGAGTCCATCACAAGTCATCCTTAAGCCAATTCACAAGCTATTCAAATGAGCTGTGACAAAAACATTCTTATGTCATTGTTCACACTGTTACTTACGACTGGCCTTGTGAAGAGACTTGTGGAAGGACTTGTGATGGACTCTGACAGGGACCAAGTCAAGATGGCTGAAGGAGGTTTGCATTTTCAGCTCTTTTGAGATTCCTCTTTTGATAACAAGATACTCTTGAGTGTGATGTTGGATGGTGATTGTGTTTGAACTTGTACAGTGTTTCAAGATGATAAACTGGATAGCAGCATTTTCTCATTCTTAAAGGGATATATCTATTTATTTTTTAATCATGATTCTGTAATTATTAGCCAAAAAAAAAACAAACACACTGCCTAGTGCATGTGTGCCAAGCCACACCCATAATTCATGACGGTTGTTGTCATTTGTAAGATATCGTAATGAATTTGTACAAATCTGTTATACAGTTTGGAATGTTAGTGAGACTGAAGCTGAAGTTGTAGAAAGGTAAAGTAATAGCACAGAGCCCTTTTCCTTGGTACTGCTAAGAAGCTGGCATTGTATAGCCACGTGTGCACTTTATCTGGAAAGTTGCAGAATACTGAATACACAGGCGGGCTACAAATTTATTGAGAAGTTGGTGTCCAATTTAACTGGCTGCAGCTGAGGAGCACTCGCACCTATGGGAAATGGCTGCATCTGATAACCAGTGACTTTCATGGAGGCATGTGTGATATCTAGCCATAGGTTCATAGCCACAACCGTTGGACACTATCATATCTTTTTAGTGAGGGACGTAATGTGGAATCAGTGTTGACATCGTGTGACTACACTCAAGGCTCCATCTTGCCTGACACACACTTCTGTGCATGTGTATGGCACACGGTACATCAGTTGTTTTCACCTGAATGTGCACAAACTTGAATCTTTGTGCAGTGGTCTTTGAACTTCTGTCTCATCTATCTCCCTAGCCATATCCCAATAACTTGGCTGCAGTCAGCGGTATTGAATACAGTGGAAACGAGATAAGCCACTAGCCTATAACTTCCATAGTGTGCGTAACCTCCAGCTGTGGTCTTGTGATTCGCAGTCTGAATCACCGTGAAGGCAACTTGTGCATAGAGTCCTCCGGTAAATTTTCTCGCCATCTGTAGATCACAGCAAGACATTTTGTTGGATTTAGCTTGTGTCTGGTATGAGACCCTGTTTGTTTCATTTGGTGTTTATTGAGAGAAAACCGAGACAGGTCAGGGTTTAGCGAGGGAACACATTTGACGATGGCTCAACTGCAAAGCTTTCTGACTTGCTGCCACTTTTGACTCAAGATTTGAAATGTATAGTTTACCAGACCATGCATGCAAAATATATGGAAATGGAACTGTAGATACTTTGTTGTCTGTAAAGAGTGATTGCAATCCATTTCAAAAGACTCAAGGTGAAAACCTGGCTGGTTTTCAATACGGGCATTTCACAATAGCGTGCCACCAACAGTTTGCACGGCGTTGGCAAATCACAATGCGCAAAATGTGTCGACTCCTTCTAAATGTGCATCGGCAGTCGCCATGTCCAGACGTGCCAACCCATTCAAACATGCACCGCATACAGTGGCCACTGCTGGGACACCACGTTGCAACCTCTTGGTGGCGCACTATTGTGAAACGCCTGGATTGATTGTGACATGATGTGGAGCGTCTTTAGCTTGTGTGAACATACCGCACCCTCTGTACCAGGTAGCTTGTGTCAGGGGAGCTGGTGTGCTCTCTGGAAGAAACTGCATAGGTGACAATGTGCTTGCGTTAAAATGACCACCCAAAAACTTAAAAAAATATGGATTCAATTACCCTGTGCCTTGTCGCTGTGCTGAGACAAAAGAACCTGTATTCGCCAAAGATGAAAGGAAAAACAGTTTTAAATGCACAGTCATTGGTCTTGACTCTGTTTTCGTTTCTTGACACAGACACAGAGAATCAGGTGCATTGTCATGCAGGATGATATCCAGTGGAACTTGCTAACCCCCACCACCACCACCACCATGATTTTGCCATTAGGGCTGGTTGAATGGTTTATTTGAGTGATTCAGAAATGTTTGGCATTCTTGTGAGCTATGAGATATTGTAGCACTTTGCTTTCTTTTATGTTGACCAATTTTTTTGGCTAAATATTGTTAGATTGTTAGCCATTGGTAATCAAACGCAAAAAAATTGAGTCCAACGAGCCAGTGCTAAAATGAGAAAAACTTACAGTCCTGTTGCCACGACCCAGGCATGGCTATCGACATTCACTGTTGTCAAAGGAAATGATGAAATAACCTCATTGTTGTTACGCTTTTCTGCGGTGATAAAAAAAAGTCTAAAAATATCCTCCAACCAACTTATGTTAAAGTAACAAAGTACATGCATATCATACTGGTAATTAACATATTAAAGATAACCTTTTCCTTTTTTTTTCTTAGGATAATAAGGTGCATGCTATGTTCAATATGAAATAACAAAATGTATTTATGACAGATTATGTGGTATCACTTTTAAAAGAGTTTAATTTATCTGGAAGTAAGAATAAAATATGTATTTATTCATATGTAACATCGAAAGTGCCCCGTACAGCTGGTCATGTTATTGGTGTGGGAAATCATCATTGGCTCACAATAATTACAGCAGAGAACAAGGTAACTGCCTGAATGATAGTTGCTACAATGAAGATGTGTCTGTGATGTTGGCAGGTGACAAGGTAAGTGGGATGTCTTTTTACACGTGATTTTTGACACTCAAGGAACTATTTGAAGCAATCTCTTCCACTGTGTTTAATTGCAATGTGCTCCATGCTGTAACAGATGTCTGTATAGCCAAGACTTTCTTGGAGACATTGCATTAGCCTAGTAACGCTTCTACGACAGTGGTTCAACCTAGTGAAATCCCCACCAGTGTAGGTTTAGACCCAGAAAAGGCATTGCACCCAATTTATGGTCGTTGACTTAGCACATGACCATAATGCATGTATGAATGCGCCAACTATGTACCATAGTGGAAGGTGGACCCTGAACATAAGCCTTGTTACTGCTTAGAACATTCAAGTTCAAACTTACAAACAAGTCCCCACAATGTTCAACAAAACGATGTGTCATTTTCAAGCCCGTCTGGCGTATTCCTGAATGGAAGATTCAGCACAGAAGAAGCTCTAACATCAGTGTTACTCCACAGTTGCACCTCGTTCATTGATTCAAGGTATTCTTTTCCCGTTGGCCTCGGCAGTCTCGGTGTGAAACGAAGACTGCAACGGCAAGTTGGACTCCAGCCTGCTCCTTAGTCGTCTGAGAAGAAGTCATCATCACTCCCGCTGGCGTAGACCTTGCAGGCGTAGCATTTCATCTGGAAGAGCGAGAGGAGGGAGGAAAGGAGATTAAACTTGGCAGGTATGTGCAACCCAACCAAGTCACTTTTGCTTGCCCGAAAACTGGATGTCGTAAAGAAGCCTGTTTTTACCTCAGCTGGTGTTAGTGGTAAAGGTGAGTCCGTCACAAGTCCCGGCAAGTCTATCACAAGTCATTCAGTCTTACACTGTGAGCCTCGAGCTAGACCAAGAGAGGGTGCAATTTTCTTAGCGACAGAGGCTCCTCTGGTTGGAACTGAACTTTGGCAGTTCACGGACAACTATGAAATGCATGCATTACGGTCGCATTGCTACAAACAAATGAACACTGCCGACCAGCAGTGGCTCTTTTCAACCCAATGCGCATTTTGAAAGGGTCGACAGATTTTGCGCTCTGTGATTGGTCAACACGTTACAAACTCTTGGAGGCGCGCTATTGTTTATCGCCCGCATTGTTTGGGCCATCTGTCATGCCTCCCATGCCCTTTACATGCTTGCGTAACCCGTCGGAACACTACAGTGAAAGTCTTCATTATGCAGTCAGTGTGACCTTCTAAAGTGAGTTGAAGAGTTTCAGAGGATAAAAATAGTGCTGTTGAGAGTTGAGCTCGGCATGAGAGGGTCAATGGGACTAGGACGGAGGTGGGCTCTGGCCAGTTAGGTAAATTTGACCTCATTTCAAAGTGTTCACACCGCCCATTTGATTTTAAGTTTCTAAAAAGCCTGAAACCCCGGTGGTAACCACTAAGTCTATTTTTAGTGTGAAACATATCGGTAGCACATCAGGTGCAAACACGATGGCTGCACTTTGCCCTAAACCAGTTTCCCAGACCCTCACCTTAACATCCTTCCAGCAGTCTTTGCAGTAGATGAAGTCGCACCCCTCGGTGGGACACTCTTGGAAGCCCGCCCCCTCGTAGTCTTCGCATACCAGGCACTTGCGCCGGCCCAGCTTGCAGAGGGCCAGCCAGCAGCACAGGCGAGGACAGCGGGTTCGCAATGTCCGAAGAGTTCCAATCTTGTCCTGACGAGAGGTAAGTTACAATCAATCGACCAAACTGTATAAGCTCAGTTAAGGGCCAGTGTTTAACACAGGCAGGGCCCTGAAATCGGTGACACAATTCAGCCTCAAGTAATAAATTGGCCACTGCCTCCTTCAGTTTCCCCACAAGTGATTTGCTTAGAATCACTTTAGCAGTATTGTACAAGATTTTTCACTACAGCCTCATATTTTTTCAACACTCTGAGGCAGGTCCATAGATCAATACATGTATTTGCTACAATTGGCCGAGCACAGCAGTCCAAGTCCAAGTTCAACACGGCGGGAAGGGGAACCAAGCAGTAACTGATAAACAGTTAACAGGAGATGGAGGTCAATTCCAAGCCCTTTATTGTTAGTGCCATAATGCCAATGACCACGCCTACATACAGACAGCCATGTTGGCCACATCGATATCGAGGATCAGTTGAAGAAGACTGACCTCTCCGGTGGGTTCTTTTGTGGGCAAACTTCCCTATTCCCTAATAGGAGTCTTGTCACAAAAAGAGCATTGAAAGGCAGGTTGGATGAGACCTTGTGGAGTTCAGCCTGCCTTCTCTTTCAACCGGCACGTCTCTGATCCACTGCTTGACGTCTTTTGGGCTCGATCATTTGAATATCTTGTTGGCAGAGGCGCATCCAAGCTGGCCTGGTTTGAGTAGTTTCTGCCCATTTGTTCATGACAGATTCCAAATTCTTGAGCGTAGCTTTCACTTGATCTTTGATCAGACAGCCATGTACGTCATGCACGTCCTCCATTGTGAAGTAGTTAATATGCCTCACTGTATTCTCCAAGCGTCGACATTTTACTCAAGTGCATGCACATGGGACTTTAATTGACCAGCAGTAGGTGATGACGTCACAGCTTCAATTGGTCGGAGCATCACAGGGATGGGGGATCCATGATGATATCATCGCATATCTGACAAATTGGCGAATCGACCGTTCTGGTGATTTTCAGATTTTTATCTCACCAACTGACGAATAGGTTTGACAGCAGTATTCAAAGTATTGCACACAGAGTCAAAACGCAAGTTAGGAAATGATTTTAAAGACCAATTTTGTCTATTTTATACACAGAGATCAAAAGAGGGTTGAATTAGATATCAAAAATGAGCACGCAATAACTGCCTAACAGAAAACATGTTTTCTCGAAAACCGTGATATTTCTTATTTGTCGGTTTGTCAGATATGCGACGATATGGTCAGTCTAAGCCATTTTCTTGTACAAGGTTGGGCCTGTGGAATTTAAGGCAAGGTCTACCTTACCGCCAGTTTCTTCTCCCTGGCAAGCTGTCGCACCTTCAGTCTCATGTATTTCAGGAAGCCTACTCTCTTCTTAAGCAGGTCGTTGTACAGGAACAAGACACGCTGTTTCTCCTTCTGTGGGGTGGCCAAATCCAAATAGAAAAACGTCAATGACGAAGGTAGTCTTGGATGTCGGCAGGGAACAGGATAGAATACCAACTCTATCTCTTCTATTATATCACTGATAGCGATACCGGTGTTGAAGGCCTGATGTGCGCTCATTCTCAATTTCATTCAGGGTAAGAAATTCCCTTCACATATCTGACTCGGCCTTCAGATCATTTCCAGAGGCTGATTTAAATTTAAAAATAACTACTGTTGTACAGACGTGTTCTGCCATCAACGAGTACATCGGGTATGGTAGAGTTGGCTAGGAGTACAAGCTCATGCGGGAAGTGGGTGCATTTTGCAAGCCAGTGGCTTCATTACAGCTGTACGTGCATGTGTTATTACCCATCACAAGCGTGACCTTTCGTCATGGTCACAGCCTTCATCTTATCATTAGTCAATCGAAAATCAGTCACGAGTCAAACCACAGTTCTGTTCTGATGAGGAATGACAAAGGAATGTTCTTTTGAATGACTGTGACTCGACTTAAGATTGGAAAAGTTGTGTTGAGTTTATGTTGGACCTGCCCGTGAGGATTTGACCACAAGATTGGGATTTTAGGCAAGATTTCTTTCAAGTACAAGTTGAGAAGTCTTTGCCAGCTGCATGTCTGGTACAATTCAGCAAGAAACAGATTTGCTTTTTGTAGCGGTCCGGCCCCCTGGCCGATCGCTCGGGGGCGGCAGTCCGTCTGCCACTGAAGGGGGAATTGGAGGCCAGGCAGGCAAAAAGAAAGTTCAGCAGACACTGAAAGACTTGGGTGTGTCAAGTGGACTGGATTTCTTTTATAATCACAACTGCTTGGACAATTAAACCGGTGCTAATCTATGTGATTCCCGGCCGAGCCATCACAACGTCCATTTTCCCAGTCGCCTCTCACAGCACCCCGCTTTTCCGAAAAAAACTTGGAAA